GATGGGATGGGATGGGATGGGATGGGATGGGATGGGATGGGATGAGATGGGATGGGACAGCCACCACTCAACCCACTGCCCAGGTGCTGCAGAGCTCAAGCCCAGCAAAGCCCCTGGGTCACAGTTAATCAGCAGCATCCTGCTGGGGCACATCTTGAATGCAAAGCTGATACAAAGTCTGACATCAACCCACTGAGGGGTTTTAAAATATCCAGAGAGAGTTGAACGCATTAGAATATTTCCTCACAAACCTTGCTCTTACTGGCACTCTCTGGGCTTGAGAGCCCGTAAAATAAAGAGGCCAAATTGCTTCAACTGGCAGGTCTCAGTGCAGTCTGTGCCTTGCTCACGTGCACAAAGGAGAACTCCTTTCTCATTTCAGGTGTAGTTTCAAAATCGAGCTGCAGCCTAAAACTCAGCCCCACGGTGCTTCAGGAACACACCTGCCCTCCCCGAGATGGAGACGAGTGATACACCAACAGGGCACAGGTCAGAAAGCCAGAACCACTGGGTATGAAAGCAGTGAGTTACACAGGTGTCCTCCTGCGTGTTAGTCCTCTGCCAAGGTGCCCCCTTACCCCGTGCAGAGTTTACTGCACGTGCCATTGAGAAGCACTGACGAAAACACCCAGGTTAGATACGCAAGAATTAATATTTATATGTCTGAAGCGGGACCATGTTCTGAACAGCAGCAAAACAAGCTGCCACACGTGGGTTTCGTGTCAAGAAGGGGCCTGGAGAGGCCCCCCAGCCCAGGAAGTCACACGGGCTCTTTGATGTGGCTCTGCACGAGAAGCAACAAGCTCAGCTCCTCAGCAGAGCCAGTCAGGCCAACAAAGGACCTGTTTAATTTAGCAATGCTGCTTCCAGGGCCCAAGACACTTCATCTCAAAGGCTGTACACAGACAGCCCTGGATGTCTGGGGCCAGGGTTCACTGAGCAAAAGCAGAACTGGCAGGCAAACAGTTTCCTGTAAATTCCACAGGAGTCTGAAGCAAGACTTTCTGCTTGATGCCACTGTGAAGTTTCACCATCTCCTTCAGCATCTCCAAGCTCAGCACCCAAACTGTGCACGCAGAAACCAAGGAAAGGATCCACTCACCTGCTTTCACTGTCCAGAAACACGGAACTGCTGCTTTTCCCAAGGGCTTCGCTGATGGGAGAGAGGCAGAAGGGGGAGGAGAAGGCATCAGAATCAGAGTCAAAAGTACTGTCCCTGCTCACGTCATCAGCAGACAGCTCCAAGGAGCCCTCGTCCTCGCGGCAGTCCAGCCCTTCCTCCGCCGACAGCTCCGACCTGTTGTGCTCCTCCTGGGAGCTGAGCGTGCACAGGATCCCTGAGTCGCTGCGGGGGGGCTGTGGGGACCGGCGGGCACAGCCCTGTGACAACCTCTCCCCCTCCGAGCAGGGGGGGCTGGTGTAGGGCCCATCTCTGCCGGGCTGGGACACCAGGAGCTCGTCTGCCCTGAGGGTCAGGGCCCCCCTGTGCTCGGGGGGCGAGGCGAGGCCCAGGCCCTGAGCGTGGCGGCCGCGTTTCCGTGGGGCTTTGCGCACGGGGGAGCTCTCGGGGGTGATGTAGCGCAGGGCTTCCTCATCCTGCCTCTGGATGCGGGAGTTGGGCACCCAGGCCAGGATCAGCGTGGTCCCCAGGAGCTCGTCCTTCTCCATGTACAAGCACAGGTAGCCTGAGAGAGAGCACAGGAGCAACCGGCTGTGACGCGGATTTGTTCTAAGGGAACTGCACAACCCTGACATTTCCCTTTCCCCGTCTCCTCATCCTGGAAATGTCCAAGGCCAGGTTGGATGGAGCTCTGAGCAACCTGGTCTAGTGGAAGGTGTCCCTTCCCATGGCAGGGGTGTGAAATGAGATGACCTTTGAGGTCCCTTCCAACCCAAGCCATCCTGAGATTCCCCCCACTTCACCATCCCTTACACATGGGCAAAACAAACCCTTATAATTTACCAGGAGAAATTTGTGGAGTGCTCAATATTATTCACTATTTGCAAATCATTTCAAGTCTGCGTATGGCTTTTGAACTGTCTAAATTCCCTCTGGCCTAAGTGGACAGAGAAGTGCCACACAAATACTTGGACTTCCTGGATAGATTACTAATCAAGAGTAAATTGTGAAATATGTTGCCACATGTAAAACTTCTACTGTTTCTTAGTTAAACAATTTCAAGTGCCAGCTGAACATTGATTTCTCAAGAATATTTACCTTACTGTAGCTAAAGGGCTACAATTTTCATGGAAAGCCAATGAAAAAAGAAGTCACCCACACATAAAGGGGAGCAAGGGTCAATGTTCACAGAGTAATTTGTTTTGTGAAGCTGAGCCAGGAGCCACAGCTCTTTGATGAGAACATGAAAGAGTGCAGGAACAGATGAGAATAAAGGAACAGAGCAGGATTTATCTTCATTTACTCCAGTGCATGTGGCCACAATCAGGTTTTCTTGCCCTTTCCTTTACCAGTGGTTGCTGAGGCCACTCCAGCAATGACAGCTACAAGAGGATACTTGGATTTCCTGAACAATCCAGACTGGAATGAGCAACAGAAGTTACTGTCCTCAAATGACAACTGTCCATCTTCCAGCAGTACAAAAGGACTTACTAAACCAGGTAAATCCGTGCTGGACCAGAACAGAAAGGAAGAATCAATTTTCCTACTAAAAGAAGATGGATCAGCTGATGGATCAGCTTGTGGATGGCTTTCCTTAGTCTTCCACAAGACTGCCTTGCCCTGGCCCTCACTGGCACCTCTTCATTCATAAGAGCCCAAGATATAGAATTTGATAGAAACACCTGCCAGGAGAGAGAAAAAGAGAGTGAGCAGCGTCTGCAACACCCCATCACCTGGATGGTGCTCCCCGACGCCTTGCAGCAGCTCAGGTGGGTGGACACAGACATTGTTCTTGGAGTAGATAATCTCCCCATCCAGCACACAAGATGAGCTGCCGCCGCCACCGGGGGTCAGGGTCAGGAGGTCGGAGGCTTTGGAGGAGGCACGTCGGAGGAGTCGCCCCAGAGACATCGCCAAGGAAATGTTTCCATTATCTGTCAGCTCGAGTCAGCAGCCAAATCCAGAAGATCTGCCAACAAGGGGGAAAAAATAGTGTTAGAACTGATTTAACAACAGCACGTGCCACCCACTGTCTGAGGATGAGTCTCCCATCAACGCTGCACCAATCCACAATCCAAGCAAGAGCCCCTGAATGCTCTGGGTCTGTAACAGCACCTCCATGCTTTAGAGAAGCTGAAGGACAGAATCCTGAGATGTTTTTCTCTGCAATGAGGAAATATGAAGGCAGCAAAACCCCACATGTTAACAGCTGCTGTGGGGAGGAGGCAGAAAAGCAATGCTGGTCACTGAAATCACCCACTGAGGGAACAGCTCAGTGGTGTGGAGCTGCCCAAGGTGTCACTGACCCTGGCATGTCACGGAGTCACAGCTGATCCCAGAGGGCTCCTTCAGCACAGAGACATGGCACTAAACATGAGGCTGCTGCTCCAGCCACAGCAACCTCCCATCTCCAAAAAGCCATCGAGCAAACTCACTTTCATCCCGTGTGTGTTTGGGGTTCAGGGGCTGGGAATTTTCTTCTGTGAGGTTGTTTTTTGGTTTTGCTTTGGGGGGGTTTTTTGAGCAGTGATGGTTAAATAGAGCCTTGTCAGAGGTAAGTGGCAAGAGCCCGCTGTTCAACAGAGTGGGCAGAGCCCAGAAGCAGGGTGTGGCACACCAACTCAAGGCAAACATTCCACCTATCAATAGCTTTACCCAACTGTGGAACATGATCCCCAGTTCATCACCAACCTACCTCTGTGCTCAAGTGAGGTGTGCTCCTCATCAGGGCTCTTGGTGAGGAGCTCTGCAGTGGACCCACAGGGGTCACTCGAGCTATGAACCATTTAGCAGATGGACCAGGAAGACTTGATGTATTGGAAGAGCAGGTGGGTCTCACACAAAGCAATCCCACAGACAGCCCGACACCCCTGGGTGCAGAGCAGGCTCCCGCTGCCATCCCCAGCTGGGAAGCACCAGAGCCAGGGCAGTTTCTGTTCTGCCAAAAGCACACAAGGAGAGGAAACACCTGCTTTTGTTCCTTTGTGTTTACATGGCCCACCTTGCTGTGAACAGGCCAGTCTGACCTAGCACACCCCACACATGGCCACGCTCCAGGGCCAGGGCAGCCCGTGGGGAGATCAGCCCGGGTGTTCCTTGGGGCCAGTCCCACACCACGGGCTGCACGGCCAGGGAGAGCCAGAGAGAAAGATAAAACAGGCAGGCCCTGACCTGTGCTATCAGGGGCATCTTCTCAGGAAATACTTAAGGGCCCAAAGCAAGCACCATGAGACACGGAACAGCTCCGATTTCCTTAACCTGGTTTTGATGGTATCTCCAGCCAGCTGAGGTGGGGAGAAGGCACAAAGGGCAAACAGAACTGGCATTTCTCAAAGAGCAGAGTGAGGGCTGCAGGGAAGAGAAATAGCTGTCCTGGTTCTGACAGATTGGTAGGTACAGAAGACTGCAAACGAGACTGCCAAGCTGCTGACAGAGCCTTCGTTAAAGGACAAACTCTTGGTTTAACTGGCAATCACCACATTTGTCAGCTTCAATCACAGCACAGGAGGTTTCTGCGTTTCAGTCTTTGCTGGGGCTTGATGGAGAAGCCTCAACCCCGCTCTGTACCAGCAAGTGTTCATGATGAGAGGATTACTTTGCGAGTCCTGCACACTCCTGTCTCCTTCCAGCACCAAACACAACATGCATCCTCATGTCTCAGCCCCAAAAACCAAACACGGTGGAGCTCTGTTCTCGTCCACACTGCCAAACCCCACAGCTTCAGGCTGGGTTACACCAGGGAAAAAGTCATTTGCTCAACCACATTTAAAGAACAAATCACCTTTCCTCTCATTGCACCCTGCAAGAACAGACAGTAAATTCTGCTGCAACTGCTCCTTCCCACAGCGAGTTACAACAGGCTGTTTCCACCCAGTGTCGGGGGGGCTGGAGCAGTGATGTGGAGCAACCTGAGCCTCCAGCACACCTGAGCAGGGGCACCTGTCACCACAGCACTTGGTAGGCAGCACAGAGTGACCAGCTCTGCCCGGTGCTGTCGAGACTGAAACCAGCCCTGCTGTCCAGACCTTCAGCTCTGTCAGGGATTTCATCAGAACCCTAAAAACCTGTGCACACACAGAAGGAAGGTGGGACCAGCTGGCTGCTGCTGCTGGCCAGGGAATGCTTCCTCAGGAAACCCGAGGGAGTTTTTCCCACCAAGGACAGGAGATGGAGAAGCACATTGAAACAAGAGCCCCTGTGATGTCCCGCAGGAAGGCAGGCGGAGCCGCAGGACGTCTCTGCCAACAGAGGCACCATTTAATGAGCTTTTACCTGGCACAGAAAGAACAAAGGAACACGTAAAGATCAAAAGCTGCTCCCTGGAAAGCAGGAGGAATTTAAAGGGAAACATTGCTTTGATCCTGCAGAACACCTGTTGCCTCAGCACTGCCTGGATGTGCAGGTGGACGGCGCTGCAGGTACACACAGGCACAGTGGGCTGGGAGGGGGAAACCAAAAAAAGGACAAAAGGTGAGGAATACAGTGTCCTGCCAGCTCAGAAATTTAGTCTGTTGGACCTGTCTTGCAGAAGAGCTACATATCAGAAACCAGAGACCACTGCAGTGCTGCAGACTGCAACCAAACACACTGGGATACATAAATATCACCAGCAAACTCAATTAGTCCTTTCACCCTTGCTGCAGGCCAGGGAATTCTGTGTAGCTTTGGTTGCAGGATTAAAGAAAACAGATTTAAGTCACTGGACAGTTTCAGGGAGGGTGACAAGAGTGATCTGGGCCACGGAAAGAGATTGCCAAGGGAAGACTGAAGTGAGGGAAATGTATTAGAAGTCTTCACACATGGGAACTGTCACTGCCAAAGAAAGGAAGAACTGTCAATGGAGGTCAGGAGAAGTTGAAAGGCAGTTGAACTGTGGCAAGGAATATCTAGTTTTGTCATTCTAGTAGCAGAGACAATGGTGCACCAGAACAGGGCAACCTCGAGGGACCATTTCCATCACTGGGGTCTCAAAGGCTGCAGAAATAGATACACAGTCAGTCCCAGCAAGGGCCAGATGATGGACTGAACCTCTGAAGGCCATCTGGTCTGCTGGTACAACCCCAAAAGTCTCTGAAACTCAGCCTGGGAACGTGCCTCTCCTTCCTGAAAGCCAGGAGTTCATACAACACAAACCAGCAAATGACAAAGACACTGAACCTGCAGGGTTTGCTCTACTCTCAGCCCCTTTCTGTGTGGGACAATGTCTGCACACACAGTCTGTGGGGCCTGGCACGTGGGGAGAGGCAGGTACTGCTGCTGCCTCCTGTGTGAGCTTGGGAAGGCAGCAGGAACTGTCCCATAGCTCAGGCAGCAGTAAATCAGCACCATTCAAAAACCCCTCATTTTTCACATGAATTTTGTATTTATCTGCTGATCTGAAGGGATTCTTCTCAGTGTGGAGGAGCCAGCCCAGCTCTCCAGAAGCTGAAGCACTGAGTTAGCTGATAAGCTCTTGCTGAATGCCAATATTTATTAAGCACACACACATTTTCTTCTCCCACACATCAACTGTTGCCACTAAAAATCTTCGCTGCAGCTTCTGAGTCTGTTCACACAGCCCTGGCTGCTCTCCCAGGCAGTGCCAGCACTTCTCAGCTACATGAGTGAAAAAGTGATGGGGAGCCAACTCCTGAAATCCCCACGGGAGCCTCTTCCCAAGAGCCCGACCAGTTCCAGCCAGCAGCGTCCAGAACGGCACCGGCTGCTTGCCTCCCGCAGAGATGCCCTTCCTGTCCTCACAGCCCATCGACAGAATCCTGTTTGCCTTGGCAGATCACACCTCACCCTGGCACAGGCTGCTGGACCAAATGCTGCTGCCTCCGGTCGCACAAGATTCCTGTATCCTGTCACGGGAGGGCAGTGCCGGGCTCTGGCACGGGCTGACACCACACAGCACCGAGGCTCCTCTCCCAGATGAGTCCAGCCTGGAGGGGTGTCCAAACGCTCCTGCAGCCCACAGGTGCCACTGTCGAGCCCTCCGTGCAGGCACTGGGCTCGTGGCTCCCAGGGCACATTTGCTGTGCAAGACTTTAAGAGCTTTACAAGCAACATAAGCCGAGCTAGAGGGCTCTGGAAGTGAAACATGAGGCTTGCAGCGTGTCTGGGCACGGCAGAGAAACACGAGCTGTCAAACAGCAGCACCACAGACGAGCATGAAATGTCTTTGGTAAGGAGAGAGCAACAGGCTCTTTTTCTGTTTTGCCCTAATAACTTCAATTTAAGTTTACATATTTAAGGAGTGCAGAGTCACTGCAGTGAGGGGGCTCAGACACTGCACAAGTTCCTGTCTCTTTACCCTCCTGGGAAAAGCAAAGGCTGGGTTTGGAACTCTCAAGCAGAGGTTACAGAGCGAGTGACTGGAGGCAGAGTACGGCAGCCCAGAGCCAGGACTCGCAGCTTCCTTCCAGTCCTTGGAGTAGATTTTCTGTGCCACTCTCAGCTGGTCACCCACTTGATCTCTACTCCTCCACGGATACATGAGAGCCCTTGTACGACCTTCCCGCTGTATTGCAATACATGAACATTAGGGAACAAAACAGAAAAAAGCTTTCCAAACTCCTTGCTGTTCACTGGAGCCAGTTAGGAGGACCCAGCCAAATCAAGGAAAAACATTTACTGTAGGGAGCCACTCTGAAGTCATCCCATCTCATGGGGAGAATTATGTAGGTCACCAAAAAGTCCTTCATTGCTGCCCTGCCAGAGCAGCAGCAGCTCACTGAGCACAGAGCAAAGGGAACTGAATCCTGCAAGTTTGTGACTCGGAAATAAAAAGGAAAAGGGAATGCTCTGTTGGAGCCTGCAGCTGCTCCTGGCCACACCTGCTCAGGCATCAGAAAGCAAACAAAAAGCAAACAAAACCCTCACCACCCCCCCACCCTGGCACCAAACTCACCTGCAGCAGCACCCAGACATTCTGTGTGCCACATGTCCCTCCATCCCAGATTAACCAGCATTTCATGTCCCTTATCTGCACTGCTCGTGCCACAGGTAACACTTTTATGGCCTTTTATTTCCAACGTCCCGGAGCCAAGGCCTGATAACACTCACAGGACTTGATCCCGGAATACCAGGAACTAAAAACCCCAGGAGCCTGGATTCACAGCTGAATGGATGAACTAACTGAAAAATGAACTAAAAAGTCTTTCTCAGTATAACAGACATCAGACCACGTGTCTCTGTCACTCGGACACTCCGGCAGCCCCCTCTCCCTGGGCACAGGCAGGGGCAGGACTGTGCCCCTTCCCTCCCTTCCTGATGGACTCAGACAGCCTGTTCTGCCCCATCCTGGCTCTCCAACCTCACACCACCCACACAGTCCAAACAAACACAGATATTCTCCAAATTCAACACAGGAAACCTTGTAGAGACTTTTACCCCAGTTATCATCAGGACGTGAACGAGCTCCTACAAAAAAGCACCTTTGACAAAAGAAGCAGCCAAGTCTGAGATCCTCACCCTGACTTGTCCTGGTCTTCACATTTCTACTGTTTTCTCTTAAAAGATCTTTCATTTTTCTTCCTATTCCGAGCGGCAACTAAGAACAAAACACCTCTGCAAGGCAAGCTCCCAGCCTGAGATCCAAGAAGACAGACAGATCTCCCAGAGGAAGCAGCAGAGTTATTTTACAGAGTGTCAGCAGCACAGTGAGCAATACAGCACCTCACAATCCCTGCCTGGAGCATCCCAAGGCCGCGCATCAAACCACTGCCAGGGACCCCCCTCCACCTCCTCCGCTGGTAACAGAGCTCAGGTACGTACTGGGGTCACCTGGGAGAAGACCAGCTCCCTAAAAGGAAGGAAACCACAGGAATGCGCTCGGAAAAAACAGAAGATAAAGTTTAAGAACTATTTCGCTTTCCAGCAGCTCCCACGGGAAGCATCCCGTTCTCCTGGGCAGCATCCCGGTCCCCAGGGCATCATCCCAGCCTTCCTCGGGCATCGTCCCAGCCCTCCTGGGGTTCATCCCGCCCGCTCCCGCCGCTCTCTGCGGCGTGGGAAGGGCGGACAAAGAGCGGGATAACACCGGGATGCACCGCCCAGGATCCCGGAGCTGGGCCCGGGGGGTCCCGGGGCAGCGCTGAGTGTCCCCCGGCCGCCCTCCCCTCCCACCGCCCCCGGCCCCGGCCCGGCCCCGCTTTACCGGCACAGACGAGCCCGGGAGAAGTCCCGGCGCTGCCCGGCCCGGGCGGGCTCGGAGCCGCCGCCGCTCCCGGCCCTGCGCGGGGCTGCGCCCGCCC